TGAGTGCGGGAACAGTGAACGTGTTGGACATGATTAGCGCCATTCGCTCATTAAAAACCGGTAAATCACTGGAGCCTATGAGCGCACAGGAGGTGTTTGATTGCAGTGAGTTGACCATGGTCATATTCATAAAATATTATGAAATATATATTCTAACATCAAATTAATTAATTATACTATTAGATCCTAATTGGTGTATATGTAATGCAACTGTCAGCGCATACGATGTCTTCCAGTCAATAGAAGATAATATTGGCTGGGGGCTTGACTTGGAAAGGGATAAACCGTTCACCGGCCAGTGCACCCATACATGCGATAGAGAAAAAATTCATGAAACAGGCTATTCGTGGACATCTGCCGCTTGGTCTAATCCACAGGACCAGGAACTGGATTATGAAAAATATATGAGTAATTGGCTCCCAGATGGACCTTTCGTTGTGTACACAAAGTCCAGTTCCCATGTATTCCAGACATACGCCGGCGGTATACTAGACAGCCGTGAGTGCAATACTACCTCTGCTACTTTGGATCACAGCCTACTTCTGGTGGGAGAGGGTGTCGACAATGGGACCGACTATTGGATCGCCAGAAATAAGTTTGTATTGAAATTAATTTGTAGTTAGTATTAACATGTTCAATTCATTTTAATCAACAGTTACGGTGAGGGTTGGGGTGAAAAGGGTTACATACGTCTGGGTAAAGGCAAAAATGTGTGCGGGATCGGTTTGGGACTTGTGGTCGTTAATTAATGCACTTCAGTATTTAATTAGTATAAGTAATTTAATACTATTTGATGTATTTCAAACAGATGATTATTTTTTGTAATTAAATACTTGAAAATTTGTGCATTCAATTTATTAAATTGATGATTTTATAATTTACTTAAAATAATTAAAATTTTCAATAAAATGTATGCTAAAAGATTTTTAACATAAATTCTTTAATCAAAAATTAAATAAAATTTTATCTTTTATTAACACAAACCTAATCGCATTATCTGAACATGATTTAAAGTCTTACAATATTAATAATCTATACTTTTTACTTTATTAACCATTATGAATTATGTTTAAAAATTTGTTTACTGTATAAAGTTTTTATAAAATATTTACAGTATTTAAAAAACTTATTTTACTAAAAATTGAACTGACTTACCTACTATAGTGCAGTAGATAATGAATGTACATATTATGTGTATTTCATAACTAATTAATCTGTTTCATTTGGAAATTATTATGGATTTATATTTTATAAGGTATATGTTATTAATAAGATAAAAGATAAGATAAAAATTCCACGGACTTTCTGTTTCACCTAATATATATCACTACTTAATCTCTAATTTAAGGACACGCTGTGAATGTCCGCAGCCCTCCCTAATAATGAGACATATCATAGGGAATGACATCTTAACGGATGGGAAACGACTGTACGTTTCGTACGGAAATAGCGATTAGTATTTATACCGATAGTTATGATTAAATGGACTATTATTGTGCTCTCATTATACGAATATACGATAGAAATCACTGATAGCTAAGTGTTTCTAACTATTAATTATTAGACATTCTTTGGAGACTCGTATAGTATATGAAAGTCTTTGCCATTCATTGAGATTTAATTCAAAATGTTTTGAAAAAATATATTTAAAATATATGTTTAAAAATAATGTAATTTTAGTATTTATATAATATTGAATACAATGCTTGAAATTGTATTTGATTAATTTATTATAAATATACAAGGTTAAAATAAAAGTTAAATAAATAATTATTATTTAATTAGTTTATGATTATAATTATTATTATTTAGATATAAATTAATTATATAAATAGCATTCAAATTGAAACACAAATTGTATGGACACACCGACAGCCCTCTATTCATGTGTCCGGTACTAAATAAATGGACATTAGCCAGGGAATTAATTAATGCTTGACACCATCAACTATGGCAAACTCATAGGTGGCCAGGGCCAAATTGCTATGCTTTGCAGTTTCACATTAATGGCACATGGTCAGTTACTATGGTTTGTTTCATGAAATATTAAGTCCGATAGACGTAATGTTACCATTGTTATAGGTATATGCGCTCAGACGGAATGTTCGCCACATTTGTACGACACTATTTTATGGGTGTCTATGCACTCAATAGACCGCCGCAAATATACCGTAAATACCGGTGAATACGGAACGTAGAGATTTATAACAGATGGCAAACAGTGTCCCATAAACTCCTTCATTCATATCCAATAAGCCTATCGAATGGACACTTGTGTGAGATTTGTATGAAAAGCTTCAGTTAGAAAATCCTATGCAGTATTCAATGGCTTTTTTCATTAGTTATATCTATGAATAGGTTGTGCTTTAAAATGTGATTTATTTAACACTAACGGGTGCTTATAATTTGTATTATAATTTTAATAAATTATTTTTAAAACAATTATTATATAAACAGGATAATATGGACTTATACTCTAATCAAAACCATTTAATAAGAATGTTTTAAATTTCGATACAGGAATTATTATTATTATGTAAATTATATTTATTAAAATTGTTTTTAAAAGTTTCATGCTCAATTAATTCCCAATATTGCTTACTATATTACCAAAATAATTTTCAACCCAAAACTACCCCTTATACGAGTAATCAAATTATGAAAATATAATAAATAAAATATTTTTGATTAATGCCACTTATTGTAACTTAGTAAATTGTAATATACATAATATTTCAGGTGTTTATCGTAAACAACATAAAATACTCTTGATATTATACATCATGCATTATTAGCATAATTATTATATTGACAACTTCGATTTATAATAAATATAAATTTTTATATATACAATTGTATTATATACACCGTGTACTAGTCATTTGTCCTATAATTGACTATATCTTTTTAAATTAAATTGACATCAATTCAGGTAATGGTAGGAAAATAAATAGTAGTGGAATTGAAAGCCTATCAAATGTAGTATAATTTAAGATTTTAGATGACCTCTTAATAGGCAATGGTGTAGGAGTAAATTAGGTTTGTTGAACATGTCCGATGATTGACCACAACAATTCAAACTTTTATATTATCTCATTATCTAATCGATCGAAATTCAGTTCAAAAGAGTTCATGATTTCGATGTCCCGTCCGTTTTGTTTGCCGATCAGAGCGCCGACCACTTGCACCGGCACTCCCTGTGCGCCCTCACTTGTGGCCGCATTCTCGCCACTGTTTTCTTGGGCTCTGATTCGTGTCCAGTGCTCCGACACATTCATTATGACCAACGGGTGCAGAGACACAGAGATGGCAGCCGTGGACACCGATGTCGACGCCATCACCGATGATCCCACGGACACACTCTCGCTGTCCATCTCTTGAGGCGCTGCAACGGCCGTCTCGTTGGCGGTCGTGTCCGACGGCACACTTGTGTCCATTTTCTCCTCCTCTGCAGACATTATCTAATGGTCTAAATGTATGACAAGTGGTACCAAAGTGTTGATATAGTCTTTCGTTGACTGCAAAGCAAACTCTTTTCAAAAGTAATCGTATTATTCATGCCATCAAACACTGCATGTATTCACTCAATGCATTCACACAACCAATCAAATGCGAGCTACTATTGAGCGCTCCTTTCAAACAACACTTCATTGAATGCACTCAACGCCAGACTAAACGCTTTCACTTCACTTCCAATCCATACACCACTCAATGAATCAGTGATATATGATTGCCATCACTGCCATCACACCATTCATTGACCAAACCATTCAACTAATCACTCTTCACTCCAATTATGCATTTTATTCACATTTGATCTGCAATTTAACCAAATACACTTTAATTGAGCTAATTTTTAACGTGTGCTAGGGGATATTCTATAAATGATACCGATTTAATTTATAATCAACTTAAAGAATTTTAACCTTATATTATTCTTGCTATTCGTACATAATTAGTAACTTGATCATATTGAGTATGCAGTGCATCATTACCCAACCTATCAAACACTTGCTAATTAATTGATTCAAATGTCGTGTAATTAATGACATTAACCATTAACTCTTGAACACCTTTTCCTTCCAAATCATACCTGTGTTGCAAATTGCAATACAAGTCAACACTGAATCCATTTGAAAGCAAATATTTATTAATATTTCAATTGATTTAACTGTACAGTTTTATTGCAAACTTTTTCTAACTGGGCTTAACTTGATAAAAGTGTTAATTCCGGACATACAGTACTCATTTTTGTATAAATTTGTGTCATTTAACGGAATACTATTTGTTTGGTTAAAAATAAAAACAAGTGCATTAAGTTCTGTATTTCTAAATAAGCTAATGTTGAACTCAATTCAACATCAAATAGATAACATTCATCTTAAATTTTATGTAAAATACCCTGTATGCCCTGTATAGGTTATCATGATATTTATTCTGAGCTATACTGTACTTATTAATAAAGTTATTCATTAGTTGTGGCAATAAATCATAATATAAGACACTTATAGTAATAATTTCACTATGAAAACAAACTTATAAAGCATTTGTACTCGACATATATTAATGAATTAGTGTTCGCTATTGAATGACGTTATGATGTTCAGATGTTCACGCGTGTTGTGTCCAATACTGGATCAGTGAATCGCTGCCTATTCCTACAGTATGTATGCCTATGACTGGGATATGAATTGAATGCAATTGAGAATAGAGTGCACAGAGAGTGGCATTGAATGCATGCATAAACTCGCGTCGATTCCTCACCAAACATAACAACTTGTGTTCAAAACACATATTCATTAGATTTGCAGTGATTTTCAAATAATTCACA